TCTTTATTTATATAATCATAAAACACAAATGTAATATTCATATAGGTAATAGAATAACATGAATTCATACAACATTTTAAATTATAGTATACCGAATTTGGAATAATTAAATACAATAATCTTATTACATTAATATTACTTATTAATCTAATATCTATAAGGTCATAAAATAACTATGGACATAAAAAAAATTTATAATGCTAAGTAACGAATGGATTATAAAATATTAGCAATTATGTTAATAATCCATGATATGATCAACATTTTCACCTAAAATAATTAAGGAAATTACTATAAATGTAAAATTATAGGTAACTAAACATCTCACTACCTATTTATAATTAAATAAAATATGTTTTAAAATTATATGTTATTGCAAATTATTATATTACTTTATTTAGTATAAACATTTATAAATATATATTACATGATCTATTACAACTTGTACGATACAAACTTGTATGATAATTAAGAACAGTGATGCATAATAAGTAATAACTCACCTTATATTATTTTAATTGCATAACATTTTTATAATATTATTTTAATACGATAATAATAATACATTTTGTAACAATTACAATTCATAACTTGAATTAACAAATAAAACCACTTATGAAGTTTTTGATGGAATATTGACCATCTCCTGTTAGTCGTACGATAATACGTACGATACTGTTATTGTACGATAATTGTTTTTTTTAACAAACATATATTTTAAGTAAACATAATCGACAATATCAATAATTCTTATATTTGTTTAAAAGATTTCATTTTTTAATTAGTACGTCTATGAATCCCCAACGTCAAACCGTTTTAACTATAATACATTACTAAAAAAATTAATATATACTTTATTTGCAATTGATAAATACAAAAATATATAGTAATTTAGACAGTTAAATGTTGATTTTCTAGTACAAAATAATGTAGAAAGATTTTAACGCCTTAACTTTGACTAGATAGAGTATACAATTATTTTCGACGGTTAAGTACAAAGTATATAAATACTCAAGAATAAATACTTACAGAAATAAAAGCACCAGATCGGTGAAACATTTAAGACTTTTTAATTTATAAATACAATTTTTTAAACAATTTGCAGTAACATTGCAAAAAAAATATGTACTTGACACCGATCCTCACTAAATGAATACTTAAGTGAATACTTAATATACCTAGTTGTAGAAACAGTTAATTTAATACATCAAGCATACAAACATTGGACGAATATTAATAAATTATTTGTAAATATTTTATTCGAAAGCGAAGGATTTTTGTTTCGAAATTATTTTCGCATTCACTATCACGTCCTGGCAATAAAATATTGCGACGAACAACACGACACAAATTATAGGACAAACAATTTTTTAGTACATAGCCTCGAATGCCCAATATTAAAATGTTATTATAATGTATTTAATACAATTGATTAAAACAATACATTTTATGCATTATTATACAATTTATTATGCATAAATATTATAATTTTTCGTTACAATTCCAAAAGAATATTAATTTTATAAACTTATAGTATTATACTCCTGAGTTTATATACCATATACAATATATACGATTATTATCATTATTTATATACAATTAAAATGTTGTCATTTATAGGTATTTTATTTCCTCTTCTTCGTGATATTCGACCTTCAAGATCTTATCGTCCAGCAAAATTGCCTCCAGTGTTCTCATTTTAATTATATTACCTTTTAATCTTCTCCTGGTCTTAATCTTTCCATGTCTTCTCTTTCCCTGTCTTTCCATCATAATCTCCGGCATCCCAGTGATCTTTTCTCTTGTGAATCATTTTCTAGTCCTACCCATGTGAGTCGTTCTTCCACATTAGTCGGGTTTTGATATAATTTTTTAGTTCTCTATTTTTTTTTTTGTTTCTTCATTCTCAAGTATTCACATCTTTACATGGGTCATATATTTTTCTGAGCCCTTCTTTTGAAAATAAATAGTGGATATTCCTTTGTTCTTCGTAACAGTCATGTTTTTGATCCACAAGTTACTACTGGTTTTATTAATAATCAATAAATATTTGAATTTTTAAGTTTGTTGGATAAATTTTAGATCGCAGAAGCTTTTAAGTTCAAAGTAACACTATTAACATGAATTCTCGCTTTTACTTCACTGTATACATCGTTTTGTTGACTTAATATAACGTCTAAATGTTTAAATTGTTAAACTCTTCTGAACCTATAACCTTCAACTTCCCGCCAACTGTTTTCAGTATTAAGCGTACTTTTCTTTGGACTACCACGTATTCCATTTTTTTCTGTATTTATCCCCAATCATAAACATTTCATATTTTTTTTTAAATCTTTTAATTGCCTTTTGAGTTGATCATGATTTTTCGCCAGCAGGACTACATCGTATGCGAGTGCTAAAACTTCGAGGGCCATATAAAATTTCAAAAGCTCTTAGCAGGTCAAAATTATGATACAGCCGATATAGGTGATAATTGACACTTGTGCACAATACTGACTTTGGATATTACACATACTATTAGATTATTTACCGCTTTTGGGTGTCGGTTAAAACTTGTTCGCGGGCCGGAATTGACCCACGTGCTATAGTTTGAAGATCCCTGCTCTATAATAATATTGTTATCAATTTCCTTTCTTATGAATGGGATATATATGCGTGGTTCTCCATTCCTTAGGCAAAACTTCTGTTTGCCATGTTAGACTAACTAAACGGTGTATATCAACTAGATCATTATTTTCAATAAATATATTAAAATATTAGTGATGACCTCTCTATTCGTTATTACTGTTTCATCTTTATTTCTTAGTAATTTCTCGTTTGGATTAAAATCTTTGTTCAAGGTATTAATCTTTCTATGAATATCTTGTGATTTATGGTTTTTATAATCAAGTTCGGCATTTCTTATTATACTAGGTATTTTACTGTATCAGCAAAAAGTCCAGGGTAAATTGTGTTATTTAAAAAATAATGGAATAGATATGCTTAATTAACAGTAACATTAATAGTCAATGTCATGTATAATATATGGTATAATAAGATCGTAGAACAAATTAATATACACTATTTTAATATTTTAAATGCACGAGTAAAGTATAAAAATTGGGTTTTATGTGTTTAAATTATAATTTACTAAATAATAATTTTAAATTATACGATAAAAATAATAATTTATAATTTATATATTAATTCTCTACAAATAAAATAAACATATTTTTAATATAAACTAAAATTACTAAAATTATACGATTATGAAGTCATGGAAAACACATGTATATTAAATTTAAATAAAAAATAGACTGTTCATGTTTTCTACAAAAACATACTCCGTAGTATCTGAATGATTTCATTAATATTCATGTCTATTAAACTGCTACAGTATTTTTATCTGAAATGCTTAATATAACACATGTACAATTTTTCATGGGTTGCAGAAATATATTTATTTAATATTTATAAATAATTCTGGAATGAAATATAATATTTAAGCTACGAAATAAAAAAATGTATTGGAAATTCATTCGACATCATCAGTGTATTATAACACTAACCTAACGTCTATAAACACAATATACAGTATACAGTACTATACATATCATCTATAGTTACGTCAGACTAAATTGACTTCAATAGTCTATTGAAATCATAAACCTTATACCAAGTCTTATAACTATTAATATACTATTGATATACTAGTTTAAGGTCTATGATTGATATACAATGTACAAGTGTCCTAACTTCTTTTGATATTATTCTCGTATCGTAAGGCGTGATTTATATTGGCAGAACGCAAATGTTTGAAATACGAGTACAAGCCTCGGAACTAATCGTAAAGATATACTTATTCTTGAATTCGTCAAGTTCAATGTCACGTTTTCTGTCAAAATACTCGATTGCTCGATTGCTGTTCAAAATTTTGAAAAGATCCTTATGATATCGATACCTATCTATGAAAGTGAAGTTTTTCTATACAAATAAACAAATTAAATTGGGTGATGGAGCCACAATTACTCGTTTTTTTATTATTATTTTTTATTACATGTGTAGGTTAAAATTTTCACGATAAAGCATTTATCATTGTGTGCCTACACACCACAGCAATATCAAGGACGGTTTAATGGTTTGTTTGTGTTTATTGTACATGAAATATAAATTTTTTTAGTTTTTACAAAAAAACGTAATAGTAATGAAAAATTAAAATGTAATGTTTTTATACGTACGATTTCTTTAAGTTATGCGTAACAATACGTAATGTAGTATATCATATTGTTATGTTATTTTTGACACGAGACACCATGTTTGTACTCTCGTTATCGTTTTTTCTGATGTTATAACACCGTGCATTTTTGACGCTGACCAAATGATGAAGGGGGGGGGAGGAAAACTGATGACAAAGTCGCGTGTCCGCGACGTGAGTCGATATTATTACTATTACGAGGATTATTATACGTTGTACATTGTTGTTTATTGACGGGTCTCCGTTTTCGGCGCGCATGTTCAGCCTTCTCTTGAGCGTTAAACCGAAATGTCCCATTCGGTCGGTCGGAAGGGCATCGGCTATTATTATACCGTGTTTATGGTGCGAACAGGCTAAGCACTGTACGCGATGGTCAATGAAACGCGACCAAACTCTCGGGGGGGAAAACCGTTTCCTGGTTCCGCGCAGGTCCATCGAACCGCGGTCATTACCAGAACACGTCTCCTCTGAAAGCGCGCGCGCGCCCGCACGCGTACACTTGCATTGTGCACCGGTGACGGCGGTTTTTGCTAGGTGAACGAGTGCGGTTCGGTTAGGAAGTTACGGAAGGTTAACAGATGGTTACCACGGAACATCTTGTGGAATCTGTAAAAGTAATAATAATAATAATGACCCGAACGCGGGAACGGGGACGAGAGAGAAAAAAACCCCAACAACAACGATGACGACGATGACGACGACGTTGGCGTGCGTACAGGTAGGTACAGGTAGAGAGCACGCGTCTATATTAAAGCCGCGACGACGCTTACCAGGCAGTTAGTTCTGTGTTGACTGCGGTTCGAGAAGGTTGACAGTTTTCATTTTGGCTCGCCCGAAATTGGTAGACGCACATTTGCACGAGATACGGTTTTTGGATTTTCGACTTGTTAATCAATTGACGATCGATACACTCACGCCCGTTGCAGTATATACGATCCTGTTGAGAACGCCGAAAGCCAAACCGAACTTATCCGCTACCCTTTTCCCCGACCGAAATCGATATTTATTTCACGTGAAACAACCCGTCTTCGAGTCGCACTGTACCAAGCGCATTATTTATCAGGTATATTATACGCATATATTATATTTATACATTACAGCGACTGTCGATGTTTATTGTTATTATTATTACTATGATATTATTACAATTGCGCTCGGTTTGTCTTATGAATATATTATTATTTTCTACTGTACTGCGATCGGATAACAACGGCTATGTATACTCGACCCGTTTTTTTACACGATAGCATTGTGTCCGCTGTTAGCGCGCAACGCAATATAATAACAGAAGACGGATTATACGTTCCCCCCACATCCTCACCGCTTTTTGTTCCACAAGTTATTCCATTGAAGTTTTTTAGCTTTCAACTGCGTTTAACGTTGAAATTATCGGAAATTAAAATAATCGAATATCATTATTTCAAATATCGGCCTTTTTGAGTCGATGGGTACCGATGGACACAGCAGTAATTAATACGCATGCAACAACGATTAAATGTAATATTTATTACCTAGGAAATAATTTCTTGTCGATATTGTATAATCCTCTCAAGTAAACCGTCTGAATACATTGTTAGTGTTCTTGAAAACAAAATCGTTACAAAGTCGGCCTTCAATAATATAAGTGCTGTAAAAAGTAGTTAAGCGTGATTCAGTACCTTTGCAGTGCCGAATATGGAAAATTTGACGCCTGGGGTTACACAAATGCAGCGCCTTTACGTGTGTGAAAATACGGGGTATTTTCATGATTTTTTTTTTCACAAACTTAAGACTGCCCTTATATCAACAGCGCCTAGGACAAGCATACCCACTTGCCCCCCTCTAGATCCGGAACTGTACCTTTGTATAATCTTCTTTTATTCAATCGATATTAAACTATCTGGTAAAAAGCAATCTAGGACAAATGGACGTAGCCGTTTGAACGTGGCCGTTTGAACCTGGAGACAAAAAAAAATATATATATAAATCAGTAAATAAAATAAATAAGTTATTTATATTTATTATAATATGTAAATTTTAATGTCAGAAATAATCATTCAAAAAAACTTCACCATCGTGATTTGAATTAATTATTGACATTTTATATTTACACTTGAATGCAATTTGTACACGACTATCACACTTATAAATGTGTATTGTCGTGTCTCGTGTATCACCGTGTTTGATAAAGTGTGATAATTATTACAAGTTGTAAAAAACAATAAGTAATATATATATTGATATAAAAGCTACCTATTGCCAAAACGATAAAATTCGAAGGTTTGATATTATAATACTATACCATTAATTATGAAGATAAATTATCAACGGTTTTATAACTTATAAATATATACCTATATATATGTATATTATTTTTTTTTTAACGTCCATTAGTCCCTATTCGAGTAAAAAGTGTTGTTTTATTGTATTTTATGATTTTGAAGAAATTAATAGAAGTAAAATCGTATAAGTTTGGATTCTCATTAAACTTAGTTCTTAATAAATGATTTTTTTAATAATAGTAGTTGATAAAATTAATTTTATGGTATACTAAACGGTATAAAACGCTTGCAAAAGTTCTTAGCATATATTTTATATACTGGATACGCTATATTCTAGGTCATATGTAACAACTTTTTTTCTGATGAAACTACTATAGTCTAACCATCAATGATTTTTGATTTTTGAATATCGTTTGATACATATTAGAAGATTAAAATTACTCGATTTGTATACATAAGAGTTTTTATCATTATTGTGATTAGCCAGTATACCACGTGTTCAACGAATTTAAGATCTAAACAGCAAACTGTATCTGTGCCTAAACCGTATCTTTAATGTAAACCAGTACTTTTTTTTACCTAACCTACTTTTTAAATATTAAATCTACGGTTAAAGTTCCATACATATATAGATAAATAAAACAAAATTTTTATTTCATTGTATTTCAGAAATAGCTTAAAAAACTTGAAAATTTTAACATTGTACTTAATTTTAACCAAGAACATTTTTATTTCCAAGTTTATTAAAATGTATTAATCTACAAATATATAAAACTAGCATGTATTTAGCTTATATTTTTAATGCATAGATAATAGAAACATTTTTAATGAAAAAAGAAATATTCTAAATATTACTTATAACTATAATTAATTCATTATTCTCTAGTTAATAAAAATTAAAAATTAATTTTATCTATAATTAGTATTGTATGCTTAATAAAAATCAATCATTAAGATCTAGAGTTAATATTATTTCCAACTTAGACAATTTAACTCTTTTCAATACAGAATCACAAAATATAATAAAACAACCATTTTTACTAGTTTTAACAGTACTCTAACAATTTAAATTTCAAATTTTTTTTGAAAAATAATTTTTTTATAACTGCGTAATATTCGTGGAAAATTCGTAACAATTTCTAATTGTTTTGTTTATGAGTGTGTGTGTGTGTGTGTGTGTGTGTGTGTGTATGTGTGTGTGGTAAATAAAATATAATTATTTCATATTTTTAAAAAAAATTGAATTGTACTAAAATTTTTTGTGAAAATAATACATATATATTTACATCAATAAAACTCCATACTATTATATTGAATACAAATTTTAATTCATTGTTCTAGTAGTCCTTTAAAAATGTTTTGAATAGAAGAAGAGTATTAATTTAATATCCTCGTCCACACAGCATTATAATATAACATAACGACAGTCATCTTGGATACACAGTGTAGCAAACAAATATAATAAAATCCCGATATAATTAATTTGCTACGGGTTTATGAAAAAATAGTGTAATTAAATAATAGATGTATAGGTTTATTTTATACACGTTGGTATACTATGATTAATCAACAATTTTATAACATTATTATTATTATTATTATTAATTATTGATGTTGTGGCCTACTGGTTTTAAATAATCCAATTTTAATGTAGCCTATATAAAAATATTTAAAATATTATTTTATTAGGTATAATAAATATCTAGCATAAGTGTTTCTGAGGTATATAGGAAGTGCTGTAAATAATTACTGGTTAGATTAAAAGATCAATATTTTACAAGTGTTATTACAATTTTAAACCAATATAATAATTTATATTATATAGGTAGCAGATGTTTTCGTAATATCAGCATAGATTTATTATTAACTCAAGGTTTTTAAATGGAGTACAGCCGCGTTAGTCGTATATTGTGTGGATTTCCAGATTTCTGTTATATCCAGGAAAACCTATGCGTTTTATATATTAAACGACGTAGAACCTGCTTACAATTAATAAATACTATATGAGTCAAGTAATACAGTACCCAGTGGTTTTTTTTTTATAAAAAAATATTCGGTAGTATTAGGTATATCTTATTTCAAGGATTACCAGTTGCAACTACTTATTTATTAACAAACTACGCAGAACAATAATTGTTGATTTGTGTCCATATTTAGACCATTAGATTCATGACAACAGGTATAAATGTTTGTGATAGAACTTGACCCTCGTAAAATGTTGAAACATTCACTGTGCTCCGTGATTAATCCACAGGTTCATTGATATCGAGTTCATACGGTTACGATGATTTCTCGGGCTCTAATTTATGACATTGCGAAAATGTGTAGGTAGATAGTTTGATATATTTACATGAAAATTGTTATAATAATTGCTTTTGACACAGGAATTTATATAATTCAAACGTCCGGAGACAGCACTCCCACATCAAAATGTCGTACGCACGCTCTAAACAGAAATTAAATCCTTTGATATCAACTAAATTAATAATTGTATGTCTATTACCTTACTGGGAACGTTTGACATTCATGTGGAATATACATTTTCCATTACTTACGTACTTTGTACCAATTATTCAATGGAAAGTTGTTTATCTGTTGCCATTTCTTCATACTAGAAGTATTAGTAGTACTAGAGTATTATTATTATTATTTATTTATTACGTGGTCATTTTTCTAGATTATCAAAAAAAAAAAATTTAAATTTAAAAAAATATGATTTTATAATAAAATTTCAAAGTAATTTTTTTCTTCTAATGACTGGTGTTGCTAAAATTGCTCTCGTCAGTAACGCCGATCGATATTTGATGGAAGTGTTTTATTATACGTTTGTAATTTTTTATTTATTAGGTTTTTATGTTTTTATGTTTTTATACGGTTATTATTTAAGAACAAACAATTTAACGCTATGTTATAATAAATTTAAATATTCCTATAAATTATTCTGATTATTTACATCGAATACTACTAAGTGCATACGGATATCTTAGTCTTTGATATTATAATTGATTGATTATTTGTTGATAAGTTACATAATATTGCTTGATTTTATATTTTCACATTTTAAATCTTTATTCTTCTGTGTACTTTAATTAGTAACTAACAATCATCATTTTTCACAAGAAGAGGATTATAACCTTACGTTTACCACATTAATGTTCCGTCTGCGGTTTTTTTTTTACTAGGTATTTCAATAATGTATTAAAATAAATATTGTAAGTAATACATTTACACTAGCTATGGTAAAATAACAAACAATACATTGCTTTGTAACCACGAATCAAAAAAAAAATAAATAAATAACCTTTATTTATCATTACTACGTATATATAATAAATTGATTATACTGCAGTATAGCAATGATTTGTTTTAATTTTCTATGAATTTTATTTTTATTAATTAATTTTAAAAATGTTAAAAATTTAAATTGTAACCAATATTTTATAATATTAGGAAAAATATGTCATTATATCGGAAATATATATTAATATACTATTATTTAGAGCATGTCATTAAGGATTACTTGCTCAAGGATCCTTCGTGGTTATAATATTTTCTTTATTAATTATTTTATATATTAACTTACAATATATACGAGTATATATAAATGCAATAATGATAATCTTTTTAAAATTTATGATTTCCTTTTTAATTGTAACTAAACACATATTATTAACTACCTTTAATCAATAACACGTCAATTATTATGTGATTGAAATATTCTACTGAAATGATCTCTTACGCAAAGAATACAGATAGTAAGCAAAACTAATAAAATTAGTATTAGGAAAATTAATTTCTTACA